GTAATGTTATTTTCATTCTTTTTGACAAAAAAATCTAAAAAATGTAAACTTTTTTTTATTATTTTATTTCGAAAGCTTTGTTTTTCTTTTATCTTTTTTCTAAGTTTGTCATCGAATCTTTAGTTATTTCTAATTCTTTTTTGGTTTTGTTTGTTACATCAGCTGGCAAACGTTCCAGGTTGCCAAGGTTGCCAAGAGGTTGCCAAGGTTGCAAGGATAAGTTTCATTTTTTTTTGAGATACTTTGTTATTATTAATTATTTTTTTATTGTTAACTTTGTAAAGTAAATAACTGTTTCTTTAAAGGCTAATATCATATTTTATATGTGTATTTACTTGTTTTGTGCGATTCTGCATATAAAGAACCATGACCTATTAATAAATGCGCGCGCGCATAAAATTTTCGAAACTTTGAACACGCGTATTGTAAAATCTATTTATAGATATGAAACCCTTAGCTAAGTAATGCGCAAAAAATATGAAAAACAATTATAGAAATAATCCATATATTTCACTACAATTTTTTTTAAGTTCTCGTGGATAACTAGCTGAGATTAAGTTTTTTTCGTCAAAAGCCCTGTAATTAATACAATTTTTTTTTTTTTTTTTCTAAAACAATTTTATAAAAACTTCTTTTTCTTATCTTCTTTTTCAAAAAACCATTAGAAAAAGATGTTCACCATATGCGACGTCTTAGCATATTAAGATAAGAGAAAGATTCCAATAAAATCTATGAATTATTTTAAATATTAAGTTTTATACAAATAAAAGTATATTAGATATTAAAAAATATAAATCATTAGCGGACGTTTTTGAAAGAAGACAGCAAAGACAGATAAGATTTGTTATTAGTATTTATAAAAGTATTTTATATAATTGGCTTTTTTATGGAAAATGTATGGCACTTTTTAGGCTTATATATATATATATATATATATATATATATATATATATATATATATATATATATATATATATATATATATATATATATATATATATATATATATATATATATATATATACATATACATATATATATATATATATATATATATATTTATTTATTTTATTTTTATAAGTCAAGATCTTTTCTCAATTGTATATCACGTAATATGCGTTACTTATAGTCTTGTACGTAGTCATCTTTTGTACGTAAATATTGTATAGGCCAGCACCCATAAAACCAAATGGCTAGAATAAAAAAATCTAAAAAGCCATGCATGCAAAGCAGTTAATTATTTAAATAGGTTAGTAAACCGACCCCAGTGATGTTTCAAGACATTAAGAACCTTAACACATTCCAAATATTAATCTTTATGCATAAGTATAAAAAGAATATTCTACCAAGCTTTTTTTCAGGTATTTTATTAATATCATTTTCTCAAAAGTATAATCTATAATTCACCTAAAATTAAATCACAGCAGTCAAGTTTTCTAATTGCAAACCGTACTCTTTATCAAAAGTTTTTCTAACACTTTATAATGTCCTTGATGAAAAAGTTTTCAGATGTTTGACATTTTTTTCATATTTAATCTTTTCTTTTAGCCCAAACTTACAGACATCTGCTTAGTGATGGTTTCACAATGTTATATTTTGGCCCTTTTTTTTTCATTGTAAAAAGAATCTTTTTATCATTTAAATAGTGATTGTATTTGTAAAACATATGTTGACAATACGAATATTAGGATTTTCAGTCAAGTAATATAAGACAAGACTTTTTGATAAAAAAAAATGGCGTGGAATTATTATTATAAATAGGCTATAGAAATATTTCTAAAGTAACAAAAATAATGCGTGATAATCAGTGAAAGCCTAATTTACTTATTTTTTTTTATAAATAAATCCCTTGCCAAAGAAAACTTTTTAAATTGAAAAAATTCAATTATTAAATCTAATAGCAATTTCGGTGTCTGAATTAAAATAAGTTCAATAAACGCTTGTGAGTTATTTAAAATAGCCATTTGACATGAGCTTTTGCTAACTAATTGATAACTTTTGCTTGTTTAGAAATTTGAGGTGTTTAGGGAAAACATTTATGTTTTTAGATAAATAATTTTTAAAAAGTTCATCACAATTTTAATTAAAATAAAATATACATACAATTTACCTATCATTTATCTCTATTTTTAATATATTTTAATGTTTTGCTCATAATTAAAAAAAATAATAATTTAAAACACACACAAACACGCGCACGCTAACAACCTTACACACACAATTACACACACGCGCGCGAAGGCTTGTTATCTTTTTTAAAAATATAAAAAAATATAACAAAGATGTCTACTGAATACACCATAGTTTTTTTTATTATCTTTTTTTTTTTTTTTTTTTTTTTTTATTCTGCCTTATAAATCTTTTATAAGCAATTGATTATAGTTTAAAATTTAAAATCTTAAGGTGAAGGCTTAACTCGATGATTTTTCTCATGATGACTTAACTCGATGACTTTTCTCATGATGACTTAACTCGATGACTTTTCTCATGATGACTTAACTCGATGACTTTTCTCATGATGACTTAACTCGATGACTTTTCTAATGATGACTAAACTCGATGACTTTTCTCATGATGACAAAACTCGATGACTTTTCTCATGATGACTAAACTCGATGACTTTTCTCATGATGACTTAACTCGATGACTTTTCATATAAAAGTTCCTAATAATTATTCAAGGTAATTAATAAACTATTACATATTTTTTTTTCTAATAAATTTGAAAAGTTAAATGTTAAAACAAATTTAAATAATTCAATTTGAATTTGATTACTGAAAAATTTAATGAACAGCTTAGTCACAACTGGTCAATAATAAGAAAATAAAACAATTTTAATAAATAAGTGTTAAGTAACAATTGTCTAGTTTTATGGTTTTATAAAAATTCATACAAAAATAATTTAACAAAAAGAATAATGAATATAACTAAATATTTTGAATATAATCAATTTATAATATATATATATATATATATATATATATATATATATATATATATATATATATATATATATATATATATATATATATATATATATATATTAGTGATGTGCCGGGTACCCGGTTCGGACCCAGGGACCCGGCAATTCGGCTGTTTAACCGGGTACCCGGTATCAGCCATTTTTTTGCAGTACCCTGCACCGGGTATCTTCAAGCTGATTTTTTCTTAAATTTAAACTTTTATTAAATTTAAACCGGTTTTTTCAGGCGGGTACCCGGAATCGGAGACTTATATATATATATATATATATATATATATATATATATATATATATATATATATATATATATATATATATATATATATATATATATATATATATATATATATATATATATATCTATATAAGTCTCCGATTACCCGGGTACCCGGAATCGGAGATATATATATATATATATATATATATATATATATATATATATATATATATATATATATCTATATATATATATATATATATATATATATATATATGTATATAAATAAAGTGTAATTAAATAGAAAAATACAACTTTATAATGGAACTAAAAGTTTCATGCCTATCGGCAATCTTCAGCCATATATATTATACAAATCAAGAAAAAACCGTTTAAAAAATACAAAATACAAAAAAAGCAGTAGAATGAGTTCCGACGTCAAAACAAAACGAATAAAAAAACGAATAAAAAAGAAGCATAGTTGTAAAACTGCTAATCACCAGTGTCAAATTGGGCAAGAAGAAATTTGTTTTTATGCCGGCACTTAGATAATATTTCACTCTTTTTATTTAACAAATTTGGGTATTTGAAAAATAAAATTTCGTACTTTTCGTTTATGCATAAGTTACATCGTTTTGTTACAGGGTTATAGGCATCGCACTGTTTAATTATTTTCCACCTAACAACCGGGTTTAAGTTTTCATCTTTTAATCTCCAAACCTCCTTTGACAATTCAGCGTCATTTTTGTATTTGGGAATTTTAAAAGATTTAATGTGATTAGCATATCTAATTTTAAAAGATGTTTCGCTTATGCCAATGCAAAGTTTATTGATGGGAGATTGAACAAGATTGTTTGAGCATACATTAGCTTGATATACTATATTTTTTGTTAAGCATTGGTTTGATAAAGGGCAGGTGTTTTTTTCTATGCAATTGCAATTATTTTCAGCTGATTCTTTCTTGTTGTTTATAACATGGCGATTGTGGGCGTTTAAAACGGATTTCATATTAGGCATACAGCTATAACTTACTTTTAATGTGTTTCTGTTAAAAATTTTGTGCAACTTGTGATTTTTAGGGAAGTGCTTATCAATTAATGTTAAAAATATTTTTCCTATATTCGTGCTGACGTTTTTGCTAAAAGGCGGGTTGAACCAAATGATGTTACGTTTACGGTTCTTAGTGTGAGATAATATTAAGTTAGGTTGGTAAGAAAGATTGTAATTAAAACCGGACTTTTTTAATGCTTCATTATACATTGGAGTGGATTTTTGAAAGATTTCCTCGCTTGACGAATTTGCTGATAATCTTAATTCAATAGAATGTGGGAGTTGCTTTAAAATACTGGATGGGTGGTTTGATTCAGCATGAATGTAATTTAAAGAGTTTCCGGGTTTAGAGTAAGGTTGGTAGGTGTGGTTGTTGAGGTTTAATGTAATGTCCAGATAATTTACGATTTTTATGTTGCACTGTGTTGATATCAGAAGATCGTTCGATTTAAATATTTTAACAAAATGTTTTAGTAGTAGAAGAAGGAGAGTTCTGGGGCATTTTCATTTTCAACCCTATTTTCAACCATAAATTAATATTAATATAGGGTTCAATGTTAACCATGTTGTATATAAATTATTTCAACAAGAAATAATTTTTTATTTTAAAAAATTGATTTTTTAAAATAAGTGTTAATTTTTATTTCTTGTTATGAAATGTTATGAAAAATTCTTGCATGACGTCATAGGTCACGTGATTTTCTTGCTTCTTATTTTTCTTTATATCCTAATTCATATAAATATTTTAACATTTCAAGGTGACCATTTTCTGCAGCTTTATCTATTGCATCTTTTGTTCCTTTATACCCTAATTCATGTAAATATTTTACTACTTCAATGTGACCATTTCTAGCAGCTTTATCTACTGCATCTTCTGTACCTTTATATCCTAATTCATGTAAATATTTTAATATTTCAAGATGACCATTTTTAGCAACACAATCAATTGTCCAATCGTAACATTCATACTCTAATTCATGTAAATATTTTAATATTTCAAAGTGGTTATTTATAGCAGCATAACTAATTGCTAATTTATCACCTTTATATCCTATTTCAAGTAAATATTTTACTACTTCAAAGTGACCGTTTATAGCAGCAGAACTAATTGCACATTTTTCATATTTATACCTAAATTTATATAATTGTTGCTCTAATTCAAAGTCATAATTTTCAGTAGCATAATTAATTGCTAATTCTTCATAATAATACTTTAATTTATGCAAATATTTTACTTGTTCAAGGTTACCATTTTCTATAGCGCGATTAATTGCTTTTAATATTTTAATAACATTGTTTTTATTTTTTTTTTTTTTCTTCGTCTTCCATTCTTTTTTATATACACAAGAAAATTATTTAATTCATTTTCAAAATTTTTTTATTTTTAATACGCATGCGCTTTAATGAATGGAAATATTCAAGGATATGTAATTGACAATTAGCAGTAGCACAAATAAAAGATAAATCATTTAATTTATAACCTAACAATATTAAATATTTAATTATTTCAAGATGACCATTTTTAGCAGCATCATTAATTGCCCATTTGTCTCCTCTATACCCTAATTCATGTAAATATTTAATTACTTCAAGATGACCATTTCCAGCAGCATTTTCAAAAGCAACTTCTGTACCTTTATACCCTAATTCATGTAAATATTTAATTACTTCAAGATGACCATTTTTAGCAGCATCATTAATTGCCTGTTTGTCTCCTCTATACCCTAATTCATGTAAATATTTAATTACTTCAAGATGACCATTTCCAGCAGCAATATTAATTGCACATTCGTCTCCTCTATACCCTAATTCATGTAAATACTTTACTAATTCAATGTTATTATTTCTTACAGCAGAATAAAATTCCCATTTGCCACATTTATATCCTAATTCATGTAAATACTTTACTAATTCAATGTTATTATTTTTTACAGCATCATCAATTGCCCATCTGCCACATTTATATCCTAATTCATGTAAATACTTTACTAATTCAATGTTATTATTTTTTACAGCATCATCAATTGCCCATGAATTACATTTATATCCTAATTCATGTAAATACTTTACTAATTCAATGTTATTATTTTTTACAGCATAAGTAATTGTCCATTCTGTTACTCTATATCCTAATGAATGTAAATATTTTACAACTTCAAGTCGTTTTTTTTTTTTTTTATCATCTTCATTATCTTCATTATCATATTCAGTAGTTTCTGTAATTTCAGTAGTTACTGTAGTTACTGTACTAACTTCTTCTTCATCTTCATCATCTTCATCATCTTCATTATCTTCATCATCTTCATCATCTTCTTCATCTTCATTATCTTCTTCATCTTCATCATCTTCTTCATCTTCATTATCTTCATCATCTTCTTCAGTCATTTCAATATCATCACTATATTCAGTAGTTTCTGTAATTTCAGTAACTTCAGTAGTAACTGTAGTAACTTCTTCATCTTCAGTCATTTCAATATCATGAATATTAATAATATTTAATTTTTCTTCTATTAATCTTAATCTTTGTTCTATTGATTTTAAAAATGAATTTTGCATTTCGTTTTCCATTCTTTTATATACATAAGAAAATTATTTAACTCATTTTTAATTTTTTTTGATTTAAAATATTTTTACAAATAATAAAAATAAAAATGAATGATGATGAGATTAATGAAATATCTGAATTTCAAAAAGAATTTAAACTTTTTGAAGAAATATTAAAATTTGAATTTAAAGAATCAGATTCTGAAGATGACACTTATTATACATCTGATGAAGCTACTTATTTTACATCTGATGATGAAGATGAAGTTAAAAAAAAACCTATAGTTCCAATTCCTTTAAAAACAGTTCAAATCATGGAACTGCATAAAGATAAGCTGAAATGGATTAATTATGTTCCAACTTATAATGTTATTAATGATGATTATCCTGCTATAGATAATACTTCTTTTAAAAAACATTACAAAAAAAGAAAATTTAGTTTTGCAAAACCATTTAATGTAGATATTAATTTTACTGAAGACGGAAAACCTTCAACAATTCATTTTGTAGAGAAACTACCCATTTTCTGTAAAAATATTTTAAATGATAATTATTGTCCTTTTGGAAGAAAATGTAAATACAATCATGATATTCCTTATTGTAATACTGTAAAGGAAAGACTAATATGCACTAAATCTTCATGTCAATATAGACATATTCATATTTGCTATGATTATCCTAAATGTAGGAATAAAGAGTGTGTATTATTTCATCCTAAAAAGTCAGAATTATCTAAATTAAGAAAAGCTAAAACTAAATTATGCAAATATATTCTTGATAAAAAAGAATGTAAAAATATAAATTGCAAATATGCTCATTCTTTTAAAGAAATTGAAGAAAATGTAGAAATTTGTCATTATACTCCATGTAAATTAGTAGATAGTAAATTAAAGAAAAATAAAAAAGGAGAAAAAATATTATTATATAAAAATATTAATGATAATAAAAAGTGTAATTTTTTACATCAAGGTGAAAGCATTTTAAATTATATTGCTAGAACTTTAAAAACAAAATAGATATGAGGATTAAAGAGTGATTTAAAAAAATCTTTACATTTTAAAAATGTATAATAGTAGAATGTTTTTATATTATGAAAAGCATGAACAATATAGAATAACTTTTAATATTAATTCAGATTTAGAACATAGAGCAATAAATGATAGACATATTAAAGTATTCGCACAAGAAGATTTTACAGTAAAATCAAATTCATATGAAAACATTTCTTTAATGTGTGGAGTTGAAATAGATAAAGGACATGTAATGATTTCACTTGCAGAAAATTATAAACCATCACTAAATTTACTAAATTCTGTTGTAATAGAGTCTACTGATGATATTAAAATAACTTTATATAATTACGATAAAAAAGATATAAACATAAAAAAAGGAGATTTGTTATGTTGTATATCAACTTATAATGGTGTTTTAAATGCAAATTATATATCACATAGAGATGCTTTAGAACCTGTTAAAGAAGAACAAGTTAGACCACATAATGACTCAGGAACTAAACAGAAAAGTGATAAAGAATCTGTAAAATCTTTATTATTAAGTATAGGAGAAGTAATTAAAGAAACTATATATGATGAAGATAAAACTATATTTGATTTTGGTAAAAAGTGATTTAGCGAAGCATTGATCACAAAAGTGATTTAAAACAAATTTTTCTTTATAGAAAAAAGAAATGCTATGTAATAATGGATATAATAATGAATGTAAGCAGCTTTATCCAGATCTTAACCAGTTTTCAGAAAATCCATCTGCACCACCACAATCTATAGATCAGAGATATCGATTAGATAAGATAAGTGAAATTCAAAATAAAATGGAATGTGAAAGAAATAGAAGAGCTATGCTAAGTAAAAAATATCACAGAGCTGTAAGAATAATTTCAGCAATCGATAATTCATTACTTGCAACTACTTTGACACTTGGAGCTGTTGGTATTGGTTTTTTAACAACAATAGTTGGAACACCAGTAGCTATCGCATGTGAAGGTGCAGCATTAGGTATGGGTGTATTATCATTAATAGGATCACAAGCTATTAAAAAATTAGCAATAAAAGCAGAAAAGCATGAAAAGATTAAAGCACTAGCTGATGCAAAACTAAATACAATAAGTAGTCTTATTTCTAAAGCTATATCAGATCAATATATTGATGATGTAGAATTTAATATGATACTTTCAGAACTTGAAAAGTTTCAAGCTATGACTGAACAAATTAGAACAAAATCCAAAAATAATATAGATGAACAGACTAAAGAGTCACTCATTAATCAAGGTAAAGAGAAAGCAATGAAAGAAGCTATGGAATTGCTAAATATGAGATTTAACAAAAATCAGAATATAGGAGTGATGAATAATACTCTTAAGAATTAAATAAAAAAAACATATATTTTATATTACTTGATCATATATTATGTATTATTTGAACATATATTATGTATTACAAACATAATATATGTTGATTTAGATCTTTTTAGGGATCTGGGGATCATAGAGTGATTTAAAAAAATTATTGCTTATATAAAAATGTATGCAAAAGCTATAGATATTGATGCAAGATTAAAAATAGCAAAAGAACTTGCTAGTTTAAAGAAAAGTATATATCAAGATTCTATTAATGAAAAGTTAGGCTATGATGCTTTACAGACTAACTTGGAAAAGTTGTACAAACCAATAATTGATAGTCAATCTGGAATAAAAGAAGGTATATCTAAATTAGAAAATAAAGCTGATCAAATAGCTAATACTTTTTCAAGTTATCCTGCTTTACTAGATTCTGAAACTAAATCAATCATGCCACCTGAAGTTGTAGATAAAATGTCATTAGGACCTATCGCAGCAGAATATCTAAAGTTATATACTGCTAAAAATAGTAAAAAAGTATCAGATGATATATTCAGTATACATTACAATGAAGGTGATAAAAAATTTTACATTGGTAAAAAACCAATAACTATTGAAGGTAATGATATAACTATTGAAGGTAAAAAATACAATGGTACACCCGGTCTTTGGGAAATCATAGTAAAATCTCATCCTGTTAGATATACTAACGATGATCGTAATAAGTATAAAGAAATTTTAAATCAAACAGATGCAATTCGCTCTGATTTAAATTCAGCTAAACCAAGATCATCTAAAAGTTATAAGTACGCTAATGTAATAAAACCTATTTGGGAAGAGATGATTGGAAAGTCTGGAAAAGGAGTTGTCATTCTTCCTAGTGATCCAAATGCACTATTTGATATGCTTAAATTACGCTTAGCTGGTTTACAAGCAGGAAATACTGGAACAAGAAATGAGATTGTTGCTATTTGTGATGAGTTGTTACGACAGGGTCAAATAGACGATGATGAGTATAAAGCATTACAGAAAGCAATAACTTAAAGTGAATTAAAAAAATTATTTTATATATAAAAAATGACAAAATACTATGATACTCTTATCAATCTTTCAGATACTCAGAAAGAGAAAATTAAAAAAGCAATTGAATCTGATACTAATGCTATTATAAAACTATCATATGAAGATCTAAATGGTAAACATAAAATAGCTTTAACAGATTCACAAAGAAACAGAATGAAAGCAGCATATTTAAAAAATACTGGCATAACACTTTCACTGAGTAGAGCACAACTTAAACATAATGTTAAAGTAGATGGTGGATTTTTACCTATGCTAGGATTAGCTGGATTAATTGGAAGTGTAATTGCAAAAGCTGCTCCGGTTATAGCAACAGCAGCATTAACAGGAGTAGGTGCAGCTGCTGGACATGCTATAGTTAATAAAATTGCTGGAAATGGTATTATTTATGGAAAAAAGAATGGTTATGGATATAAAATTAGAAAAGTAGGAAAAGGAGTATTTTTAAACCCATGGAATGGTAGTTATAATTATTTAGACAGATATTATTCAAAAAATGGAAATGAATATTCATCAGTAGGTAGAGGTTTGTTATTAGGAGAGAATTCTCCATTTAAGAATATACCATTATTAGGTCTTCTTCTTTAGATCACTTCGTGATCCAGGCTTCGCTAAGTTCTGAAAGAACCAATGCTTTGCTAAATCTTATAATATATATTTTTTAAAAAATATATATTTATCGATTCCACAATGAAGTTGGATAATAAAATAAATCTAATCCACTTCTATACTTTCCATTTAATAAATCAGAAGACAAATCTATAACAACAAATCCATGCTTTTTTGACCAAGCTTCATTTCAAAACTTTTTAAACTCATCTAATTTCATATCATTTGAAACATGGTCATTATAAATATGATTTACATTTTTAGAATCTTGTTTAAACAAGCATATAAAATTTGCATTTTCTCTTATCGTTCTCCTAGGCAACTCAAAATAATTTTGTGCCAAGTAGAAACAATCTACATTGCTATGTCTTCCTCTTATATAGTACTTTTCACACTTGTTTTGTTTTGTTAATTGTAAATCATCAAATATCATTAAATTATTTCTAATACTGTTAAGATTTTCAGGTTCTGGTACATCCTCTGCTGTTTCAAAAAATTGACACTCTATATCTGTTTTATCTTTTAAATCTCTTGAAATGTTTTTAATAACAAACTCTGGATTTACATTGTTTTTATTTATTTGATCTTGCAACTCAAATAGTTTAAGAATAACTTCTTTTGGTAATTTATTTTCAAAAGAATTTTTTAATATTTTGTATTCAGGTTGAAAAAGAGATTTTCCAAAAACTTGTAAATTATTATAGTCTAACCAACCAGGTCTTAATAGCAAGTTTAATAATAATGTTGTTTTTCCACATCCTGATTTTCCAACAATAATCCCTCTTATACTTTTAGGCAATAACTCATTATTTTGACGTTTACTTTTATTTACATTCCATGATAAATCTATAATTTCCATTTTTTATTTACGAAAAGTATTTTTTAAATTAAATAAATTAAAATACATATATAAAAAATGTATTGCGTTAAATGTAAAAACAAAACAGATACACTCAACTTACAACATGCTGTGAGTAAAAACAAAAGAAATATGCAATGTGGAAATTGTGCAATCTGCGGAACAAGAAAATGTCAATTTACAAAAGGAACTGAAAGAGCTCAAAAAGGAGGTGATTTGGTAGAATCTATTAATAAATTTACAAGTAATAGAAAATTACCTTTGCAAAAGTTTCCAGGTGAAATGCATATACCAGGTATGAACTTTGCAGGACCTGGTACTAATTTAGATGAAAGATTAACTTCTACTGAGATGCCTAAAGAATGGAGCATGCCTGTAGATAGAGTTGATAAAACAGCTTATATTCATGATCTTGCTTATAAACATTTTCCAGATAAAGAGCATAGAAATTTAGCTGATAAAATAATGCTAGAACAAATGGATGCTATACCTAATCCGACACCTCGTGAAAAATTGGAAAGAAAGATTATAAAACCTATCATATCTGCTAAAGTAAGGTTTGGTATGGGAAATAAAGAGTCAATGAGTATTAAAGAATTATGTCAAAAAAACTACCAGCGCA